CGGATTATTTGCTCAGCATACAGACTGAATAAGTATGGTGAAAGGATACACCCTGGACGAACACCTTTCCTGATTTTAAACTATGCAGTATCCTCTGTTCTTGGTCTACCTATAGGTTCTACATGAGCACAATTAAGTGCTCTGGAATTCTCATCCTTCACAATGTTATCCATATTTGTTATTATTCACACAGTCAAACGCCTTTGCATAGTCAATAAAACACAGGTAAACATCTTTCTGGTGTTCTTTGCTTTCAGCCAAGATCCATCTGACATCAGCAATGATATCCCTCCCTCCACGTCCTCTTCTGAATCCAGCTTGAATTTCTGGCAGTTCCCTGTCGATTACTGCTGCAACCACTTTTGAATGAGCTTCAGCAAAATTTTCCTTGCGTGTGATATTAATGAAATTCTTTGGTAATTTCCACATTCTGTTGGATCATCTTTCTTTGGAATGGGCACAAATATGGATCTCTTCCAGTCAGCTGGCCAGGTAGCTGCCTTCCAAATTTCTTGGCATAGATGAGTGAGCACCTTCAGCGCCACATTCCTTTGTTGAAGTATCTCAATCGGTATTCCATCAATTCCTGGAGCCCTGTTTTTTTGCCAATGCCTGGGCCTATCTAATCTTTGGAGGAAGGGTGAACCTCAGGAGTGACTTCAGTACTGAGCTAAAAAGGTGTCCAGGGGCCATACTGTCGGGGTTTCTCCAGTCTCTGCCAGGCCAGTAAGTCTGGTCTTTTTTGTGAATTAGAATTTTGTGCTACATTGTTCTCCAGCTCTGTCTGGGATCCTCTATTGTGATCCCTGTCAGAGTAGTCAGTGGTGGTAACCGGGCACCATCTAGTTGTATTGGACTCAGTCTGGTGAAGGCCATGGTAATTGTGGTGCATTAGTCCTTTGGACTAATCTTTCCCCGGTATCTTTACTTTTCTTCATTCTCCCTTGTTCCTGAAGGGGTGAGACCAGTGGAGTATCTTAGATGGCCGCTCACAGGCTTTTAAGACCCCAGACGCTACTCGCCAAAGTAGAATGCAGAATATTTTCTTTAGAAACTATGTTATGCCAATTGAGCTAGATGTTCCCCGAGATCATGGTCCCATAGCCCTCAGCCCAGCAATCTGGTCCCTCAGGGAGTTTGGATGTGTCTACGGAGCTTCCATGACCTTGCCTTGTATAAGTTGTGCTGGCTTCCCCAGTATTGTGTACTGTCTTACCCATCACCAAAGTTACCACTTATCTACTGTCTATTTAGTGTTTTTCCATCCCCACCTCTCCCCTCCGTTTTAACCATCAAAGCTTGTTTCTTTTTGTGTGTAAACCTTTTCATGAATTTTTACAGTAGTGGTCTCATACTATATTTGTCCTTTTGTGATTGACTTATTTCACTCAGCATGATGCCCTACAGATTCATCCATGCTGTGAGATGCTTTGCAGATTCATCATTGTTCTTTACTGTTGTGTAGTCGCCATTGTGTGTATGTACCATAGTTTTAGATATAGACAAGATAATTGTTAAGATTTCTATGGTAAGGCAAACAAACTAGAATAGCTAAAATAATTTTGAAAACAACATGGGAGTAATCAGTCCATCCCACTTTAAGACTTACGATACAGCCAGTAATGAAAACTGTGCTACTGATGGGAATTGACAGATCAATGGGACAGAATACAGAACCCAGAAATAGTCATACAAATATGCCCAACTGATTTATTAAAAATTTTATTCATTTTGTTGTTGTTGAGAATGTACAGAGCAAAACATACACCAATTCAACAGTTTTTACAAGTACCATTTAGTGACACTGATTACATTCTTCAACTTGCGCAACTATTCTCACCCTCGTTTTCTGTTTCTCCCCCAATAGCATAAATTCACTGCCCCCTAAGGTACCTATCTAATCTTTCAAGTTGCTATTGTCACTTTGATCCCATACACATAGTTCTTAAAAGAGCATAATGTTCAAGGCAGACATTTTTTACTAGTTAAACTAAACTACTGTTTGGTTTTTTTCTTCAGCTCACTTATTTTTTTTATTGTACTTTAGGTGAAGGTTTACAGAACAGATAGTTTCTCATTAAATGGTCAGTACATATATTGTTTACTGTTTGGTTTTAAGAAGACTTCAGGGGACATTTTTGGTTTAAGGTTTAAAGGTTATCTCTCAGGGCAACAGTTTCAGGGGTCCATCCAACATTCATGGCTCCAGAAATCTGAGGTACATGAGAATCTGAAGTTCTGTTCTTTATTTTCCCCCTTTTCATTAGGATTCTTCTACAGAATCTTTGAACAAAATGTTCAATAATGGTAGCTGGGCACGACTCAGTTCTTCTGGTCTCATGGCAAAGGAGGCAGCTCTTCATGGTGGCAATTAGCTGCAAATTCCATATCCTCCTTCTCTTCCTGATCTCTTTCTTCCTCTTGTTGCTCCAGGCAAATAGAGACCAACTGTTGTGCCTTGGATGGCCGCTTGCTATCTTTTAAGACCTCAGGCACTATGCAAAGAACTAATAGGTAGAATACAAGCACTAAAAATAATATTAGGCCGATTAACTGGAATGTCCCGTGAAACTTTGACCTTAAACCTCCAAACCAAGGAACAAAACGTCGTGAGGTTTTTGGTTGTACATAAGCAGCCTTGGCAGCTACTTATTTTTTTTGTTCGTCGTTGTTGTAAATGTATGTATCATACAACTTTTGTCTATTCAACTTTCTACAGGTGTACAGCTTATTGACAGCAACTACAATGATAGGCTGCGTAACCCTAACCTTAATCAATGTGATATTCCAACACCATTAAAACTCCTTTCCCCCTCCCTCCTGCCCCTGGTAACCATTAGTTAACTTTGTTCTCTATACATTTGTCTTTTAATATAAGTGAGGTCATACAATATACGTTCTTTTGTGATTAACTTATTTGACTCAACATAACGTCTTCCAGTTCCATTCATATTGTAGCATGTATTAAGACTTCTTTTCTCCTTCTGGCTGAGTAGTATTCTGTTGTATGTATGTACCACATTTTGTTTATCCATTCATCTGCTGATGGGCATTTAGGCTATTTCTACCTTTTGGGTATTAACTTCAGTAATATACAAAAAATTCTGTGTCTACAGTGTTGTAGTAAGTGTTGGTGTACAAGTCTCTGTTTGCTTTCAAGTCTTTTGGGTATATACCTAGGAGTGGAATTACTGGGTCATATGGTAATTCTATTTTTGGTTTTTTGAGGAACGGCCATACCAATTTTCCACAACAATTGTATCATTCTGCATTCCCACCAGCAACACTGGTAAGGGTTCCAATTTCCCCACATCCTTGCCAACGTTTGTTATTTATTTATTTTTTACCTTAGCCATCCTAGTGGGAGTCAAATAATACCTCATTTGGTTTTGATTTGCATCTCACGATAGCTAATGATGCTGAGCATCTTTTCACGGGTTGCTGGCCATTTATTTGAATGCCCCCTTTGGAGAAATGTCTATTCAAGTCCTTTGACCATTTTATGATTGGGTTATTTGTCTTTATGTTGTTAAGTGGTCGAAGTTTAATATATTATTTTGGTTATTAGATTCTTGTGGGATATATGGTTTCCAAAGATATTCTTTTGGTCAGTAGCTTATCTTTTCACTTTTTTGGTCAAGTCTTTGGATGAACAAAAGTTTTTAATTTTATGAGTTCCCATTTACTTTGTCTTCTGCCAATTGTGCTTTTGTTACTATATTAGATAATCCATTATTAAAAGGTCTATCCTGGAGAATGATCCATGGGCACTGAAATAGAATGTATATTGTGCTGTTTATGGGTGGAGTGTTCTATACCTATCTGTTAACTCTAGTTGGCTTATAATGTCATTCAAGTCCTCTGTTTCCTCATTGATCTTCTTTCTACATGTTCTGTCCAATATTGAAAGTAGTATATTGAAGTCTCAAACTATTATTGTAGTACTATCTATTTCTCCCTTAAATTTTATCAGTGTTTGCTTTATATATTTACACATCCAGATGTTGGGTGCATGTGTATTTGATTGTTAAATCTTGATTAATTGGCCCTTTTATTATATACTGTCCATCTGTATCTCTTCTAACGGATTTTATCTTAAAGTCTACTTTGTCTGATATTAAGATTGCCACCTGAGCTTTCTTTTGGTTATTATTTGCATGGAATATTTTTTTCCATCCTTTAACTTTCAACATATTCGTGTCCTTTGGTTTAAGGTATGTCTCTTGTAAACAGCATATGGTTGGATCATGTTGTTTTTATCCATTCTGCCACTCTCTGCCTTTTGATTGGAGCATTTATCCATTTACATTCGCTGTAATTACTGATAAGAAGTGACTTATTTCTGCCATTTTGTTATTTGTGTTTTGTGTGTCTTAAACATTCTCCTTGTCCTTTACTACGGCTTGCTTTTGCATTTTTTTGGTTTATCGTAGTGAGCTTTTTGGTTCCCTTCTGTGTATGTTTTTTATATATTTCCTTAGTGGTTACCATGAATATTACATTTAACAGGTTGTATTTATAACATTCTAGGGTAAGTTGGTACTAACTTAACTTCAGTGACATACAAAAAACTCTGTATCTATACCATTCCTCTCCCCCATTTTGTTGTTGTTATCACTAATTACATCTTTATATTTCATGTGCCCTGTAATATAATTTTATCCTTACTTTTAATATATTTGTTATTAAAAAACATGAAGGATAAAACATTTAGAATTATCAAGCATGAATACCTTATTACTAGCCCTTATACTTGTCGATGCATTTCCAACAGATTTTTTGACCAAAGTGCAATTCAGTGGAGGAAAGCTAACCTTTTAAATAAATGGTTCTGGAACAACTGACATCCATAGGCAAAACAATAAACCTTGATCTAATTTTCATCACTTATATGAAAATTAAGTTAAAATGAATCACAGACTTAAAGGTAAAATGTAAAACTGTAAGTTTTAGAAGAAAACCTTCAGAATCTACAGCTAGGTCAAGTTCTTAGACTTGGCAGCAATAGCCTGATTCATAAAGGAAACATTAGTAATTTGGACTTCATCAAAATTAAAAACTTTTGCTTCGTGAAAGGCCATGTGAAAAGGATAAAAAGACAAGCTACAGGGTAGGAGAAAATGTCTGCAAACCATATATCTGACAAAAGCCTACTATGTGGAAAATATAAAGAACTCTCAAAAAATCAACAGTAAAAATGCAATGCAACTAGAAAATGGACAAAGAACATGAAGAAAGATTTCACTGAAGAGGATATGCAGATGGCAATTAAGCACATAAAACGATGTACAACATCGTTAGCCGTTAGGGAAACACAAAGTAAAACCACAATGAGATATCACTACACATCTATTGGAATGGCTCAGATAAAAAACAGTGACAAGGCTAAATGCTGGAGAGGATGCAGAGAAACTGGATCTCTCATATACTGCTGGTGGGAACATAAAATGGTACAGCCTCTCTTGTAAACTCTTTGATAGTTTCTTAAACTAACCGTGCAGCTACCAAGGTTCTTTTTGTTAGTTGCTGCTGAGTCAGTTCTGACTCATGGTGACCCCACGTGTGCAGAGTAGAACTCGTCCATAGGGTTGTTCAAGGCTGTGATGTTTCGGAAGCAGATCGCCAGGCCTGTCTTCTGAGGCGTCTCTAGGCTCTAGGTGGGTTCGAACAGCCATCCTCTTGGTTACTAGTTAAGCACTTAACTGTACCACCCACGGACTCCTATCACATGACCCAGCAATTACACTTCTGGGCATTTACACTAGAGAAATGAAAATGTGTGTTTACACAGAAACCTGTGCACAAATGTTACAGAGGCTTTATTCATAATAGCCCAAAGATGGAAACAATCCAGAACCCCTTCAATGGGTGAATGATTACATAACCTGTGGTACTTTCATTCCATGGAATACTACTCAGCAATACAAAGAAATGAACCATTGATACAAACAACCTGGATGAATTTCCAGGGAATTATGTGGTGTGAAAAAAAAAAACTAATCCCAAAAGGTTACATACTATATGATTCCATTTATGTAATAGTCTTGAAATGGCAAAATTATAGAAATGGAGAACAGATCAGTGGTTGTCAGGGTTAAGGAGGGGGTGGGGTAGGAGGAAAGGGCAACATGAGGGATCTCTGTGGTGATGAAATGTTCTGTTTCTTAAATGCATCAATGCAAATATCCCAGTTGTGGTACTATACTATAGTTAAAAGATTATACTATCGGGGGAAACTAGGTAAAGGGTACATGGGGTCTCTCCGTATCATTTCTTAAAACTGCATTGAAGTCTACGATCATCTCAAAATAAACCATTATCTCAAAATACCATAAAATAAAAAAAATTTAATTATAATAAAAATGCAATACGGTCTGTATGTTTGACGATTTTCATAATATTATGTTGGGGGAAATGCAATACAATTATATCATTGCAATTAAGTTCCCCAAAACCACTTCCAAGATGGGGGCTTCTCTCTTGATATTAAAGACAGTGCAGATACCAGTGTAGCACATCTGACTCACCATTTGTTTCTGGAGGCCATCTAATTTATCCCCAGCATTATCTTCCTTATCCATGTTGCCTCTACATAAAAGTAAAATAATAATAATAAGACACCATCTGGGAGTTATACTGCAACTAGGATACTTAAAAGAAGGCCCCAAATATTACTGACCAAAAGGAATATTAGTAAATCCCTTCTTCTACATGTGCTCAAAATCTTGGTTTTTCCCTCTCTTTTTGGAGAACTCAAGAGACACCAAGAAAGAGAGAAACTGTCACCAAACAGTGTCATGACTTCTTTTGGTAAAGACCTCCTCTCAACTGATATTTCAGCATAAGACTCCAGTCCCATGCCCTATACAGGTTCAGAAGCTGACCAGTCAATAATCATATTATCAGAAAAGCTAATTACTGCCTGTTGAGAGTATCTTAATATGAGGCTTTAAAAAAAGAACAGACTCCAGAGACTGAAGGCTGCACAAATCAAGTGAGCCCTGAGACACACACCTCAGGCCACAGTAGAATGAACTGTCAGACAAAATCACCTACATTTGGCAAATATCATGTTCTTGGAAAAGGGCTCTGCTGCCACTGCCAAGAAGGAAGGACATTTCACCCTCTCTACCATCACAGACTTGCCTCTAGATTAGCTGCTTAATGTCCTCCTTTTCTCATGAGCTTAACTATTGCTGATGCCTATCTGTTTTTCATGATTCATTTTTAAGACTGACTTTGAAATATTCCTGCCCTAAATATTCCTGTCCTTGCTGCTCAGATCCTGGAGACAGACAAACCTCCTACCTTCACTGCTTAATCACAGAAAGAACAGCCACCCCACACAAATGGAAGCTTATGCCACATTTAGGTAGCTCAACCAAGGGAGTGTTTTTCCTGAAACAGTGAATCTAATATTAGGATCACTAGTCATTTGGGAATTTGTTAACGTCTCCCAAAATGCACCTTGTGATCATCTGTCCACAGGCAACACCTTAGAGAGAGTGTGTGATGGTAGTTAAAGTGTTGATGAGGGGTGAAAGACAGATGGAGGATGCATTCCACCCTCTTCTCAGCCTTAGCAGATGGTTAGGGACTCCTGGCAGTGCCAAGCCCTCACATCCAAGCCTGGCCACAGCCCTAGGAAATGTGACATGTACCACTAGTTCTGTGCAGAAGATCAGGCCAAAAGCTTACCAAATATAAGCTAAGAGATTCGTGTTATGTTTTCAGTTGAACTATAGCTCTGGGTTGTTAATTTAGCTTTCCTTTGAATTTATACATTTTGGGGTTATGCCAACAATAAATAAAGCACAGCCAAAGGGGATGCTCCCATATTTTTCTGCAAGACTAAAATGCCATGGCTGTCAAGTAAAAAACCAAAACCAAACCCACGGCCACTGAGTTGATTCCAACTCACAGTAGCCCTATAGGATAGGGTAGAGCTACCCCCTAGGGTTTCCAAGGCTGTAAATCATTACGGAAGCAGATTGCCACAATTTTCTCCCATAGAGCAGCTACAGGGTTCAAACTGTCGACTGTTTATTTAGCAGCTGAGTGTATAACCACCAGGGTTCCATGGCTGTCAACCAGTGACTCGTAAATCCACCTCACTCATGGACCACGCAATCTTTAAATAATGCTGGGCTTTCATCTGAGGAACTTCAAGGTCAGGGAACCTGTACTCACTGTCCCTCTTCCTAGCTTTCTGCCAGGTATGAGAAGTCTGAATCCTTGGAGAATCCTCTGACCAAACAAGAGACAAGCCTGGTTAAGGAGCAGGGCAGGATGGTGTGCCCACTGGGGAATCCATGAAGGACAGGAGCCGGTATTTGGTTCAGAGTGCTCAGAAGTCAAAGAATAGGTATGCAGAGCAGTAGGATGTAACCAAAGCAGCAATTTTGGAAGGAATTGACCATATGGCCAGGTTTAAGGGAGATGCCAGACACTGAAGCACAATGAGGAAGAGACATGAAGAGTGCTGGATGTATGTGGAAGAGGTTACATATTCCTAGCATGACATGTCACATCAGGGTTGGCCTATGTGGCTTCTCACCTTTCAGGAATGTCTGAGGTTCCATCCGTGACTCCCTGTTCTGCAGAAAGAGACTTCTCATCTGGCATCCCAACTTTCTCCAGGAAGCAAAGTGCTGGGTCTGCTCGCATGGCATTGTATCTCTCATAGCCTGATCAGGAGTAATGAGACATGCCACAAGTCATGTCAGAAGTCACAAAATCTGCCGCTGGCCCTAGACAATCATTCTGTTTCCCTTACTGAATAAAAACCAAGACAAACAAACAGATCAAAAAAACTTATTTAAGATTAATCAGATACCATAAAGACTTCCTATTAGGAAAAATCCTTGAGCTAAAGAGGAGACCTTTGGGCAGTGGGTGGCCAAAAATGAACGTCCATGTAAATATTCTATGTCCATGAAGTGGCACAAGGTAGAGATACGAATTCTCACCTGCTTGCTTCTTTAGGACAGCAAAGGGGATCAGCCAAGTTTGTTCTGCAACTCCCCTTCCTTCAATCCCTCAACTCTGGACACCCTGTTACCTCCTGAGAGGGCCTTGTTTTCTTACAGTTCACTTTTATCCCATGTGTTACAAGGGGAAGCTGAACAAAGTGATGGATGCAAGGGCTAAAATATAAGAAAACAGCTGCAATTGTTTATTGGAATAAAATAGACCTGTTGCCTCTGTATTCACAAACACAGAGTGTAATCCTAACCCACTGGCCAAGGTTTCAGAATTGCTCCTTACCACACCACAACCCTAAAGTCAACACAGAAGGAGCATACTTGACTCAGAAAAGAGACCTTGGAAGAGAGGCAAAACAATGAAAAAATACCACTGTTGCTAGAGCCCATCCCTGGGAATTTATTATTTTATTGAGATCTAGTGTAATCTTATAATGAACAGGAGTTGGCCATGTACAAGACCCAAGTCTATTGTCCTACAGAACTATCTTAGGGGAGATGCTTTCGTGATCGTCAAAATCTTTTTCATGTTGCTCCTAGCAAACAAAGTCTATCTCTAGCTCTATAACATGTACAGAGAGGGTCCATTACAGGTGATGGGAGAGCTGAACATAAATGAGAACCAGCCTGGCTGTTAATAACAGACCTGACTTTACATTGTTGGGTATTAATTTCCGTGTTGGCTTCTGTTCTAATATCATTGTTGATGCAGTTGTACCCTTCACCAGGCAGCACCTGATACTTTTTCTCTGAGTAGCTATAGGTTCTTGATCTTTTAATCCAAACTGACTCTCCTGCTATCTCCATGACAGATGCTACTTACATGAGATATATGGCATGAGAAACTGTGGTGCCTTATGTTCTTCTTTCCTTAGGGCGACTGATTATTTGATTACTGTCTCTCTCATGAGATTGTGGGGCTCCCTGGGAACAGAATCTCTGTTTCTGCTCATCTTTATGTATTCTGTACCTAATTCACCTAGGACAGTTCTGTATGTCTGTGTCGTGTGTATTGTGTTGGGGGGAGGCAGGGGAGGCATGTAAATTCTGTCTGCCACATTGCTGGAACTTCAGGTTGTGTCCTCTTGCTGCATCACACTGTCTCCGTGCAAGGGTTTGGTGATAGGCCCTAAAACCGCTATGGAGATGAGACACAAGATCACTATGCATTCCCGCAGACACCAAGTTCAGATGCTCTGAAATCTGCTACCTCCAGCAGCTTGTCTTCTCCTGAGTTCTCTCCAAAATCAGACTAAACCAAATCTCAGCTACATTGTGGTATCTCGTGATTAACACAGAAGTCACATGCTTCTTCCTCCTGCTTCGGGGCTGCGCTCTGGACTGTCCAACGGAGGAGCAATTAGCCAATTGTGGCTATTTAAATTTAAATTAAAATAAAAAATACAGCTGCTCAGTAGCACTAGTCATATTTCAAATGCTCAAAAGCCACGTGTGGCTAGTGGGTTCCATGCTGGACAATGCAGAAATAGGGCATTTCCACAATTGCAGGTAGTTCTATTGGACACTGCTATTCTAGCCTCACCCCACTGGTTTGACAAAGAATTCTTAGCAGCATCGGACCTCCTGAAACCTGCATTCTTAACACCAGAATCTAAATATTAAGAAGATTCCCATTAAAATGTGTATAGGCATAGCTTTTACATAAATGTAACTGGTTGGTTTACAAAGGTTGAAGAACTCTCTTTATAGGGCAGGACATTTGTTAGAAAGTATAGTGCAGTGAATTACTTAATATGGCCTTTCTGGCCATAGTCTTTCTGAATCTGACATGACTGGGCAGGACCATGTAAATAAGGTGTGTGGAACCCAAAAGAGCTGTGGTGGTTCGTGCTGTGTGTTGGCTTGGCTACGCCAAGATTTCCAGTATTGTGTGCCTGTCCTCTATTTTTGTGATCTGATGTAATTATCCTTCATTTTATGTGTTGTAAATCCTAACCTCTATATGCTAACGAAGCAGGATTAGTGTGGGGTGTATCTGGAGTTACAGCCTTGCAGGAGGACGTGACTCATGTCCCACCCTTAGTCAAGTCACGCCTTTTCCTGGGGTGTGGCTTGCAACCAATGTATATATGTGGGTGCTCTGGCGGGGATCTCTCTGTCTATCTGCATCTGGATACTTCATCTGGATCGTCATTGTCTGGCCTACAGTTCTCGGGACTTGAGCAAGCGGCCTGCTGTCTGACCTGCTGATTCTGGGATTTGCCAGCTTCTGCAGCCTTGTAAGCCAGCAGCTTGTCATCTGGCTTGCCCCTGCAGCCACGTGAGTCAGGAGAAGCCTAGGCCTGACCCACAGATTTGGGACTCGCCAGCCTCCACAACAGCATGAGCCATTTCCTTGATATGGTTCATGAGTTCTGTGAGACGTTGCAGCGAAGTACAGAACCCAAAGACAGGAGGGAGAGTACTGAGGGGAGGAGGAGTACTTGATGTTAGAGATGATGGAGTGGAACAGCAATTTGGAGAAGCTGGACATCTGGGACATCTTCATCCTTCACCTCACAGGAACCAGCTCTGTGCTGATTCTTATAAAAGAAATTATTCATTTAGAAAGTTAACAACTTTCTAAAGGCAGAATAATAAGGAAAAGTGGAACAGCATGGAACAACTATTATCTACCAATCACTGCTCTAGACAGTCTACAAATATTGTCTTATTTAATCTTCAGATAACCTCAAGGTAGGCTGTTTTTATACCAACCCCCTCATACAGATGAGGAAACAGAGAGGTCAGAGAAATTTATAACTTGCCCAAAGACACACATTTAGTAAATGGTAGGTAGAGTTGACGGCTAAAGTCAATACACCTACCATATTTTCATGCAAATAATGTGTGCGTTATACCTTTTTTTGGCCAACCACGTGGCCCCTGGCCTATTTTCATAAGTGCACTATGCTAATTATTTTATGTTGCTATGAAAAATAATTAACATAGCATGCTTATGAAAATAAGGGGCGGTGGTTGGCAAAAAAGCGTATAACACATGCATTATTCGTATAAAAACATGGCAACTCTTTTCCCGTACTGTACTCTGTTTTCTGGTTTAAAATTTCTGTTAATTCACCTGGCAGAAACAAAAACCTGTTGCCATAGAGTTGATTCCGACTCATAGGAACCCTATAGGATAGAGTAGAACTGCCCTATAGATTTCCAAGGAGCAGCTGATAGATTTCGCACTGCCAACCTTTTGGTTAGCAGCCATGGGAAGGTGTTTATCAGACATTATGGGTGACTATCATTTGACACTTTCATTATCCACTTTCACAACTGCAGCTGACTGAAAGCAAGGGCAGATGCCTAGAACAGGGTCAGAACAGAAGAAAAGGGGTACTTATTTCAGTTTTTCCAAGCCACTCAACTACCTCTTTTGGTCCTTGTTAGCCCACATGGCAAAGAACCTTGGTTACCACATTAAAAAAAGAATATCCAGGGCCATCTTCTATGCTTGTATTTTCACACCAGTAGGGCAAAGGATACGCACTAGGAATATGTAGATTACCTAGAATGGCCTTAGAATTCTGTATATACAGCCAGCCCTTCCATATCTGAGGGTTCTACATCCACAGATTCAATCAGCCACTTACTGAAAAGATTTGGGAAAAAAAAATTTTTTTTTCTCCTTGTACTTATTCCCTAAACAATATAGTGTAACAACATAGCATTTACACTGTATTAGGTATTACAAGTAATCTAGAGATGATTTAAAGTATATGGGAGGATGTGTGTAGGTTATATGGAACTAGTCACTATTTTACATAAGGGACTTCAGCATCCTCGGATTTTGGTTTCCGAGGAGGGTCCTGGAACCAATCCCCTGCAGATACCAAGAGACGACTGTATATAAAACGATAACACCTACGATTTTTTTCTAGTTTATCTGTTCCTTCACTCAAGAAACAGTGAGTGCCTACTATCTGCCAGGCACTAGACCAGATACTGGGGCTATAAGAGTGAACGAGAGACAGGGAGTTTCAAGCCTCAACAGAGCTGACAGGCTAGTGAGGAAGATACACACTGAGCAAGTTCTTTTCAGGCAACCGTCGCTTTTTTGAAGTTCCTGACTAACATTAACATTCATCACTAATACATTCATCTAGTCAAAATTCCAGGAGAGTAGAGGTGAGACTCTATTTTCAAAGAGAGATGTGTAACAGGACTACTGCAAACATGAAGGCTTCACACAGAATAACTTGGGGAACATAGGAGCAGTAACTGCATTTAAAAAAAAAACAAATTTTTTTTTTTGAGAGTTTTCCAAGAACATGCCAACCTTAGTCAAAGAGTGTCTAAACTCATCTTTCCTGTGGGGACTGATCCAAAAGGGAAAATATTCAGAATACACACCATGCTTGAACACGCCAATCAGAAGGGACTTATCGGCCTCAGCATCCCACCAGTCTGCTGGGATCTCCACATAGTCGATGTCGGGCAGAGACACCTCCAGCTCTCTGTGGAAGTAAAGGCGTATATTCAGAATTCCTTCAACACAGACAGAAAACAACTCAAGAGTTACTGGCCCAATCCTAGTATTAAGCCACATCCCCCGTTTCATGCTTAGATGCTGAAGTAACAATAAATAGAAGGAATCAGAAGGCTGCAAGCCAATGTTTCTTAACCAGAGCTGTGAATCAGAATCACCTAGGGAACAATTTAAGCATATGTACTTGATTTCCAGGCTACATCTCAGACTGACTCACTCAGAATCTTAAAGCATCTTTTGGAGAACACATCAGCAGTTGATCTGGGTAGGGTCTTGGGATCTATGGAGCCCTGGTGGCACAGTGGTTAAGAGCTACAGCTGCTAACCAAAAGGTTGGCAGTTCATATCCACCAGCGGCTCCTTGGGAACCCTATGGGGAAGTTCTACTCTGTCCTATAGAGTTGCCAAGTTGGAATTGACTCAACAGCACAGGTTTTGGGATCTATATAAGGTAGTTCCGATGTGCTCTTCAGTTGTGAACCTCAGCAATATGTTAGTAATCTGTTGACACAACTCTCCCCAAACGGTTAAACCACAATGGCGCCAAAATAATCTTGTTTTAGCATGCAGCGATCTCAAACACTATTTGAGAACAAGATAATCTGTGCTGGAAATGCAGGGATATGAAGAAGGCCTATCAGCGGATCTGCACAACAGGGGGCACCTCCTGGCAGTGGTCTGCTACTGGTCTGTGGGATCAAAACTGATCACAAGCCGCGCTGCTCCTGGCTGGTAAGATGAATGTAACTTGCCCTAGGGAGCAGACATGCAAGGGATTAGCAGGGCTGTTCCACCAATCCCTCTCTGAGTTTCTCTCCATGTCCTAGGAGCTCACATGGCCCCTTAGTTCACTGTCTTCATTTGTCTGATGAGCACAGTGCTTACTCTTTGAAGGCTTTGGGGTTTGGGGGAGACCATCTATCTGCATGGCTCTTCCCTTCCACCTCCCAGCTGCCTGGGGTGGTTCCTCTGCAGCATTTCAAGTTTCTTCTTCCATCAGGCTCTTCTTACTGTGACACAGGGCTGACTGCACCTTTCCAGGCCCAGCTCCCTCTGTGGGGATAGAGTTCTCCAACCCCCACCTTTGTAGGCAGTGCTTCCTAGCTGGCTCCAGTAAAGGGCCCACTGCTCTGCCTGCATGGTACCATGGGCTAAATGACTTTTCTGGGATGAACTATTTTCATTCCTCATTGCAACTTCTCCACAATACGGCATTAAACCTGAACAGGACCAGTGAGAGCCAGGATTGAGAAAAGCAAAGGAAAGGAAGGAAGAGGGAGAGTAATAGACTCAGTCTCCCCATGTTCTACCTAGTTTCCGTCCATCACTTCCCACATGTCTGAGGAAGTATAAGACAGGAAGAGGAGTAAGTTCAGATAGATCACTTCTATAAGGTAACACCTGATATAAACTATGAGATTGAATTCTACTGTATTTATACGACTCACAAATAGAACCTTTTTCTCAAAACATCGCTCTACCCTATCCTTACTGAAACACAATGACTACAGAAGCATATCAAGTAATAACAGTCATGATGAGAACTGCTCCTGATTGCAAGTTGCCTCATAGCCAGGGTTGTCAAGGGCCCTCAACTCTCTCTTTCTTTTGTGCTCCTATAAATACTAAAACCATTAGTAATGTCCACTGGACAGAAACAGAAAGAAGAAAACTGGGCCCCAGTAATCTCAAAGCAAGGCCCAAATACCAACGCTTCTGGTGTTTAGGGCTTCCTGTCTCAGGTGTCCTCTGGGAATGACAGACACTGTATAAGGCTAGAGTAAACTACAGACCTGAGAAAGGCAAAGGAGGCTGACTGGCAAATCCAGCTATAAACTATGACTTTCTGACAGCTTTCAAATGGCGGCTGAGAGCCTGGCAGCCTCATTCCTTGAACTCTTGCGAGACTGCCACAGGATTCTATAGCTTTGGACACACTAACTAACAGAACTAAGGTGCAACACATCAAACAGACCACAAGGTATTATTAATATGATTAGCAAATAAAAGAGAACCACTCAAATGTAGGAGCATTATGGCCAAGAACGGGATTCTAGGTAAAAGTTCCAGTCTATACCTATCATATCAAGCCCATCAAAGTAACTGACACCCATTCTACAACTATTACTTCAGGTAAAGAAATGACTGTTTTAAAAGCAATTTTACAAGACTATTGGAAAAGAAAAAACTAACTAAAAAACTCACTAAAAGCTGTCTTTCTAAGAAACTGCTTTCTCCTTTATCTCACTTTAGATGACCTGACTGAATCATCCTTATTGTATTTACCTGTTCTAACATCTAGGTAACTGATCCTGGGTGGGGTAGGGAACATGGGCCTCCTGAGGCACAGGCAGGTTTGGTCAGTTCCATGGACAGGAACTTTATGTCAATTCTTTAACACTGAGATCTAAGGTTGACTCGATTTACCTGGCTGGAGCTCCTTCAAATGCTTTATCAGCTGCTTCTCCCAGTATTTCAGCTTTTAGGTAGTATAACATCCGGACTCGCAAAAGTACCCTATGAAAGGCAAACAGATTAATGCAAGCAAATTAGAACCCATTAAATGCCTGTAAACCACCACCCTCAAGTTGACACAGAGAAATTCTGGGCATTCCTACGTAGTTAGCGGCATGAAGTCACAAATGAGAAAGTACCAGAAAAACGGAACACTATCTACCAATGGCAGTGATACAGTGATTATCACAGTATTACACAAGAAGACATGCATGTCATCAGTCATGTTAGCCCACCCTGTGAGCCACAGGTAGCAGCAGAAACAGACAGCACTCCTCCAGATCCCTAAAAGAGTACTCACCCTCCCTTCCATATGGCCACACTGACCTCTTAGGCAGAGTTGGCTTCCAAGAGGCTAGTTACCAATTTACTAGTTTACTGAAGACTGAGTCATGTCAGATGGTGCTTTCAAACAGTTTCACTTGTACATAGTTCAATGAATATTTAAAAGGCAGCCATCTATTTTTCATGGCAATATTGCCAGAGAATAATCACGTCTTCTCTCCTGGGGTGCTCAATTCACTGTGATTCAGCATGGACTACACTCAGGCTCCATGGGAATATACCAAACATGTTTGAGACAAAGCAATTAAGTATTTGTTGGGTAATTTCTATGTGCCCTGCACCATGCTGGGTACTGGGAAGTATACAACAAAAGTAAATAATTCAAGCCCTGTTCTTAAGGAGCGTACAGCAGCCTCGTTGGGAAACAAGACCAATGGTTGAACAGTCACAGCAAAGAAGATGACAGTGGGGATCCAGAAAGCAGGGGGCTCAATGTATGCAAAAACAGGGAGCGCACAGAAAAGCTGACCACTTTCAAGGGGATGCTTCATATTCAAGGCTAAGATGCAAAGAAGTTTAGAAAAGTACTTTTAACTTGTTCAAAACCAAATATTAAGACTAGTCTGTAAAAAAACAAGCCCATTTACTGATACTTATATGTGAACTGATCTCCAGGTAAATTGTTTTTAAAAAGGAACACACACAGTGTGCAGAGCGTATTATTCTAAGAGAGACAAAAGTAGTCTGTGCATTCATATATGCTGCTACGTGAACAGACTATCTCTGAAAGAAAAGGTGACAGTGGTTGCTTATGGAGAAGAAAACAGGAGTTGGGGGTAGAAGGAAGACTTATTTTCACAAATTTTTTTAAACATATGTATGTATTACCTGGAACCCTGGTGGTGCAGTGGTCAAGAGCTCGACTGCTAACCAAAAAGTTGGCAGTTCGAATCCACCAGCGACTCCTTGGAAACCCTATGGGGCAGTTATACTTTGTCCTATAGGGTCGCTATGAGTCAGAATCAACTCGATGGCAACAGGTTTGGCTTTTGGTTTATGCAATACCTATTCAAAAAAAGTTAATAATTATGCTTCTATAAAAGCATAATCTCTATTATATCTGGGTAGAAAGTACTACTGAGGGCTCAATTTAGAGTGAAAACACATAAAGTTGGAACTTTCAGGTTGGAAAGAACCCTTACATTTCTGGTATAACATTCCTTACCTCAGCTGTCAATCAACACACATAATTTTGAGATCTGTTTTAAAGCCTAGAGAATAAGAACTGTTTAAGCATGTGCAACATTTGCTGATCCTGACACTCAGCTGGCAGTAGCTGCCAGCCTCCTTAGTAAGGACTGGAAAAAGGGTGTCTTAGGTATAGAATGTCAGAGTCCTGCCTTCTCAGATTAAGCTCAGAGTAACGCTTCCCTGAAGATGTAAGACAGAGAGCTGTTTCTACTTCTCTAAAGAGAAGCAAATGTGCTGATGTTTAGCAATATCTGTAGCATGAGAAGAGAATTTAAAGCCAACAGTATTCACTTATTCTCCAAATGAAAAGACAGTTCAGACAACAGAAGGACAGTCCCTCAGAGTGGTACCTTCTCCCGGAGTAAGATGAGGATCTCAGCTGGCGTCTGAACTCAAAGGGAAGGAAAGCAGGAACAGGTTTCTAACACCCTTGCCTTATCCAAACAAAACAACCCAGTATTATTTGGAGTGGCAGTATCTATTTTCCTTTCTTTTCTTTTAAATTTTATTGATGTGAAATATAGTTCTAAAAAGTGCACTTATCATAAATGTACAACTTAGTGAATTTCTGCAAGCTGAATGAACATACATGTGTACCCCGCATCCAGATCAGGAAACGTAACATTACCCCAGGAGCCCCCCTGCTGTCTCTTCCAGTCACCATGCCGCACCCCCAAGGATAACCACTATCTTGCCCTCTAACAGTTTTAGATTAGTTTTGAAACAATTGCTTTCTCACTTTTTCTGTTTTTGGTTCTTTAGATGGCAAATTCTTGTCTCTAAACAATATACTACTATTTGTGGTTTACTTTGGTAAGTGCTTGGTTGCTAACTGAAAGGTTGGCGGTTCGAACCCACAGTGGCTCCATGGGGAAAAAGATCTGGCAATCTGCTCCCGTAAAGATTACAGCTGAGGGAACCCTACGGGGCAGTTCCACCCCGCCCTATACGGTTGCTATGAGCTGGAATTGACTCGACGGCATGCAACACAACAACTACTGCTAACAAACAGTTCCCTGAGAGCTTACTATGTGCCAGGCACGTATTAGCTCACTAAATCCTCACAGCAACGTTAAGGGGTAGGAACTACTGTTTTCATTTTATAGATGAAGGGAAGAAGGCACCCAGAGGTGAAGTAATTTGCACTAGCTCACACTGCTGATAGGTGACTGGACAAGGATTCAAATTCAGACAGTCTTGACATCAGGGTCTGTCTCAACCCTTATCTAATATTGAAGTGGCAGTTAATTTGCTAATTAACAGAGCCCAATATTCCCAGAAATTAGAGTCTTCAGCTTATATCTAATAATAAAAACCCTTTTCAGAGTCTCTTCCTTCCTTCCATCATCCGTTTAACAAACACCTGATGAACAGGGCCCCTTTGAAGTTCACAGTCCTGTTATACTATTGAGATACTGGCCTGTTCTCTGTTGCATCTGAGGACAGAACCAGGACTCAGGATCAAATGGTGGTAGTTTCAAGGAAGCAGATTTTAGGTACAATATATAGAAGGACCATTAGTTAGAATTATCTGATAATTAAACGAACCTTGCTGAGAAATCATAAACTCCCATCATTAGGAGGCTCAAGGAGAGGCTGGAAGATTCCTTGCCAGGGACATGTCTAAGGAATTCCCACAGTGAGTAGGAGGAGCTACAAAGTCCCTGCCAGCTCTGAGTCTCTTGATCTTACTGAACCAGAACTAAAGTGGCTGTTGATCTCCATTATGATCAATATAATAAAACAACAATCAGCATCCTCAAAATGCATTATTCTTTGATTCCCAGGGTCTAGCACACACTCAGGAAAGGTCTTGGGAAGGTGATTAGAAGTTTTTAAGGAATTCCTCCAAAGGTCAAAACTTGGTCCTGCTCATCTGTGATCATTTCTGCAGGTATCATTATGAAGTTCTATGTCAACTCTCTCTAACTCAGGCCTATTTCAGTACTGCAGGCTACACTGTACTCTAACTTAATAAGGCAAAACCCAAGTCTCTTGCTTTGTTCTTCATCTTTTAGTGAATGTAACTATTCTGATTCTATCACAGCTATAAGCATTGCCATTCTCCCAGCCTGTAAGGCTACAACCATGGAGTTACCTGCTTTTTGTAGTCTTCATCACATATTGTGGATTCTTCCTTAATCATCTCTCTCATACTTGACTCTTCTTCCTCATTTCCACAATTAACGCCCCAATCTAGGTCCTCATGATCTAAAGCTTAAATATGATAGTGCTTTTCTAGTTGGCCAATCAGCTCTAGGTTCATCTTACTTCATCTTGCACTGTTGCCAGATTAATTTTTCTCCAAAACAGAATTCTGTGTCTCATTTCTCACTTGTTCAAGAAACATGGTTGCTTAACATCTGCAATTAAATCCTGAGTTAGCCTGGCATACAAGGTCTTCTATCAATGAGTCCTCTTACCTAGCCAACCTCCTTTCTGTTCCCCACATGGTGACTCTGATTCAGTCACAAACATGCTACTGGGTCCTGGCCCAATCAGGTGCTCTGTGCGTGCTTGGAGTTCTTGGCCTTCCTTCCCTCTACTGTCATCAGGGTGTGCCCTCTAAGTCTCAATTTAAGACCTACTGCCTCCAAAGAGCTTGTACTTGTGTGTATAGTACTTTCTATTACAGTACTGGGCATGAGACCTATCTTCAAATATTTGGTGGACTCAAGAGAAAGGTTAGACTTTACCCATAGAAAGAAAACCAAACCAAAACAATCCAACAAAACCTACAGAACCATTAAGATGATGTTATAGGAAGGCAGGAAAAACGTAGCAAATAGTTTTCTCAAATAAAAACATCTTAACTTGTAAGGCAATAAACTCTTTACACCCAGAAGTGTCCAAGCAGCGGCCTTCTCACTAGCTACCAGGAATGCTGGAAAGGTAATTCTTACATGGCCTAGGAAGCTGGATTACGTAGTTTCCAAGGGTCCTATAATTCTAGATGTCTCTTGGTTTAGATACATTGAACAATGATGCAAACATCCATGTGTAAACTTGTGATTGTTTTGTGGCTGATTGCTCCAACTCTCCAAGTGACTAAACTTCCTATGAACAGGCTTTCATTTTTTTCATTTTTCTTTTGTTGTTGTTGCCCCTCCTTCCCCATTAAGCTGTTAGCCTGGGAGTATCAACAATACCATCTCCAATACTTATCAAATGACTGGAGGTCATGAATGGCAACAGCAAATTGGAAGAGGTAACAAGTGGCATGAATTCTGACCCAGCTTAGACCACGTCTCCTGACTTTTCCAGACCTTGCAGAGTGGTGCACAAGCATCAAGTGGTCTCCCAGAAGAGTTCCCAGGAGACTGGACAGACTAAGTGGGACTGCCACCAGGGCATGGGGGAAGGGCACACTCACTTGTTGCAGTGCTGTTTGAGGTGTTTCTTGTAGCCGTCATCATGCAAGACCACCTCGGGGTTGCAGGTGGCCAGCCAGTCTGCATTCTTCAATTCTGGGAGTAGCAGCTGATTCTTCGTCTTCTTCCCCTTCCTTCCTCTAGGGACTGGGGCAGACAACCCTGAAACAGAAAGGCAGTGCAGGGCAAGTGGATGAGCCAAGGTAGATTAAACATGGTACAGAACACAGCTGGGCTGGGGTTGCAAAGAGGTAGCCAGGCTGTGTACGGTGGGCCCTGGACAATAGACCCTTCTCTTGCCTCAGTCTACCGGATACTGGTGGTGGTGAAGGGATGAGCTTGGTTCGCTACTTAATACACCACAGGATCGCTCAGTCAACCCATATGAATTTACAGAGGACCCAGTGAGGAAACCAGAAAGGTGCAATATAATCTGTGCCCTTCAGGAACTTATAATCTAGCTGGGGAAAAAAGGAACACTCAATCTGCAACTTGAAGGTGGGCTTTGGCCAAGCACAGGGAAGGAGATATACAGCACAAGGCACAGACAGAGGTGGGACTGGACAGAACAGTGAGATGCAAAAGGCAAGTCATGGCACACGGTATGGGTCTCCAATTCAGAGGAGGAATCCTTGTGGCACTCAGGTTAATGGGCAGGACTGGCACGTGCACAAACTTCAAGAGGGCCCAAGTGTACTTAAAATATCACAGGTAACACTGGATGGAAAGTTCTGGCCATATCACCCTTTCTCACAGATAACTTTCTGAAATATCTCTGAGAAAGAGAAATCCCTCAAAGCACAGCAACATGGACAAACACAAGAGGAGGAGATGAAAAGTGCACAGGAATTTGTGTGGCCTAGTCTGGCCCTGGCACCTCTCACCTGAGTGGTTCTGGAGGGTCTGGGCCTGCCCATCTTTGGTAGGTGTGATCAATTCCCAAATGAAACTCTTGATCTTCTCATCCCCCTTGTAATGCTTGACACAGTACACCAGCAGGGCACGGCAAATCATCTCCATGTCTTTCTCGTTCAGATGCCACTTGAATCGCCCATGAGTCAGGATGTCCTTCCACCGGCCCCAGCTGCAGAGTGGAAACAGAGAAGGGTATTGGAAAAAGTAAGGTGGAAACAGAGAAGGGTATTGGAGAAAGGAAGGCCATGCATGCATTCTCAACACAACAGGACAAATGAGAGCTAAGAATGCTTCTTGTTCTCTGTTGGGTCCATTAACTGCTCTGAAGGCTTTGTCCCGAAAGGCCACTGAGGACCACATGCCTGTAAGATACCAAGTATTTACTAAAGTGACCTGGACATTAGACACTGAGAGCTTCCTATGGCCACTAGAATGTTAAGAAGAGAGGGATAAAATATTGGGAGCGGGGAATAACTGGAATTAAAACAGAGTCCAGCTGCAGGATTTGAAAGCAATGGTAAGCGCACAGAAGCCAAACTTTCTATTTCTACCAGAGCCCGAGCACTGCACGAATCATGCCTTAACTGCAACATCTGTTGCACTGACTCCTTATACATCCCGGGGTAGGGGTGGGGAGCAGGAAATCAGTACCAGGGAGCAAATTAGTAACAGAGATTTGCTGTGACAAAAATATGAGAAAATCATGGCATGTCTACAATATGGCAGCAGAATGCAGAATGACCGAGGTAGAATTCTGGGCAGAAGGCACAGTCCTCCGTGGCTCCAACAGATTCCCCACCAGCCCCATAACTCCAGAGGTGACTGCAGAAACACACTGGACAAATCCCAGGGACTGAAAAACAGAGGTGAAAAACAAAAAAACAAGCCAAGCCAATACCCACCCAAAGATGAGCAGGTTCTTCTCTACCCGGAAGCATTCGGCTCGGAGGTAGCGCCTGGTTTTGTCATTCAAGCGCCTTGATCTCGTGGGCCTTTCATCGGAGTCACTGTCTAACTCTGAAAACTCCATGAGCTCGTCCTCCTCAAAGGAGTTGTAGTGTTTGGTCTGCTTTCTCACACGAGGCCGGTCGATCACCAAACTTTCCTAGAAACAGAGAGGACTACTGGGGAGAAAGCCTCTCTTCTCTGTACTCCCATCACAATGCACGAACATATTTGGCCGCCATTCCTCAGGACATTTGGGAAAGAACCACTCCCCTGCCTCATCCTCCAGCATGCAAGGCTCTTCCCAGCACACCTGCTGTGTCCATGAAAACAGGACAAGCAGAGGGGATTCTCTGGGACTTGCTGAAGTTGGCATGTTCCCCAGTCCCCAGTGCTGTCAGCCACCATCTGCTGTTCCTGTAGTCACGGTAACATAGCAATGGGCAGGCAAGGCCCCCCAGTGCCCAGAGTGGCAGGCTGCTCTTGCCAAGAAGGGCTGGAGTGGGGAACCCCAGCTGTTCTGCCCAGCATGCAGAGAGCAGTCTGAGCTCAGGAGACAGGACAAGTCAGAGAATTCCATCTGCTCAGCAACTTCCTAAAGACAAATATATACTCCTGCTGCTTCATTATCTGCCCTCCATTGGCACGATCTACTAGCCTTTTGTCTTTCACTGAAAACACAATCCATAGCTTAGGGACCCCACTCATTCCAGTGACTCCCTTGGCCACACTCATTTCTTTTCTAGTCTCCATCATTTCCTGCTCCTCCCCTCCCTGCTATACCTCTTCGTAAAGCTGGGCTAAACTCCTACATGGTCCTCCAAGCTGCCCAGATAACAAATTTCTAGTGTCATTTCTGCTTCAAACATCTTGTTTCCCACCTTGGGGTGCTGCAACTGCTTCTTACTGCCTACAGAGCAAGAGCTTTTTCTTCCGCATTTCTCACTCAGTAACTTTTTGATGGTGACACTGTAAAACACTTAGAACAAGTTACTAAAGGGGACTGCAAAATCTTCTCGAAAGAGGAAAACAACATTCCTATTTGGAGAACGCAGCTGGAGGAAGCGACCTCTAGCAGTTCTACAGAAGAGCAGGTATGGCGAGTGCTTGGTTACTGAACCAGATGGGACAAGCAACAACTGTCCCCGAGGTTGTGGGCCCAGGAGAGCTCTATGCTCACCTGTAAGAGACAGGCAGAAAGGGATGTGCACTCATTCTGAAGTAAGGTGATGGGTCAGAGATGGAAGGCAGGGAAACCAACACTGAAGGACTGCCTCACAATAGCTAGGCCCTGTGCCAGCTATATTCACAAAAGTTATCATGCAACCCCTCAAAACAGGCACGGCCACCTACTATTCTTAGATGAAGAAACTGACCTTCAGTGAGGTCAAGTAACTTGCCCAAAGGTATACAGCTATTCTGCAGCAGAGCCAGTATTCAAACTCTGGTTTCACTGTAAAACCCATTCTCTTTCTCCTATTCAGAAACAGGAAAGCCTGAGACACTGAAAGAACAAAGGTAAAGCCAAGAGATTTTTCCCCAACATGCTCCTTTCTTCCTCTTCCAATTATTTGTCAGAGGTGAGGTTTCCTTCATAGGAAGTGTTTAAGCAGAGATAAAACAGTCACATGTCAGGGACGGGGTGTTGGCTTGGGACGGAGGGCTGACCTTTGATGACCTCTTTGGCCAGTTCCAGTTCTAATTGCCTTTGTCTAATTTCCAGGGTGTCCATCAGACTGTATGTCCCATTAGGTCTTTCTTAAACTAAACAGTTAACATTTATCAAGCTCTGTCTTGTGCCAGGCACACTGTATACGTACCATCCCACTTAAGAACCATGGCTCAGGAGTAAATAATGACTTGAGCTGTATGGTCCTATTAAGACACCAATCACATGTTCAGTGGAATAAAATATTCTTAAAATTATACCTTTTCATTCTTTGCTTCAGTGTCCAGTTCAGCTATTTTAGCCCATTTCTGCCAAAAGTTAGGGTCATCTAAGGAAATATCCGTTCTATTTCCTGAAGCCACAAAGCTAGCCTGTGAAGAAGACAAGAGTCAAAAAATTCTGCTTGAACACAGTACAAACTAATAAAGCACCTATTATTTCAAATGGCCCAGAAACTCAAGTATATCATTCATCTGTATTCAAAACCAAAACCACCAGAAGAATCTCCAAAATGAGTGTGAAACCTCAAAGTATTCTTTTCTTTTTTTTAAAGATTGGTTGAGGAAATTACAATTTGAACCTATGGGACCATTTTTTGGAACTTAGAAGCAGGAAGGTAATCCTGGAAGACAATGGCAATGTGTTACTTGGTGTCTAGTTCTCCATGAAAGGGTTAATTCTTAAGACTCCCCTAGATTTAATTTTTGTTTCAGTTTAATAGTGAACAAGTGTCTGCTACAGAAAAGGTACTGGGCTGGGCAGGGTAAGGGATACAGAGAGGAGCAATGTATCACCTGTTTTCTCCCTATAAATTAAAGCACAAAGTGTCCTACTAAAAAATATCCTATACAGGGCACCAAACAGGAAATTCAAGCAAAGAGGTCATATAGTCTACATAGGAATGGGCAGAGCCTATGGATGGGAAATCTGACAGTGATCTAATAAGTGGTCTGATTAATTTCATTCCAAATCTAGTGATCTGAATTGCAAAGGAAAGAGGCACCTAGAGTAGAAGCTGGGAATCTTGAGTAAAATCTCTTTTTCTAAGAAATGTACAAAATACTTGTTTACTTTGAGGAATGGAGTGTTCATTGGACTTTCAACTCTCTCATATTGATCAAAAAAGTATTCTATAAGGGAATCAAGATGACCATTCAAGGGTTTCAGAGTACTCCTTGCAAATAGTGAATAGCGCAAACTGCAACCAAAGTGTCTATCCTGCCTACTAAAGATCAGTTCTCAAAGGTTAGGAATGGTGTTTTCTTCTGTAGCCTCTCGTTCATTATCCAGAATCCCTCTAAAGATCTGCATCTTCAGAGTGTCACAGAGACTAGACACATAGCCGACAATTTCAAGGGCTTGGATTTAGAGAAAGCAAAGCCTGGCTAACAAAAGTCAAAGAAGAAACAATTTTCTTCTCCCACCCACCCCCAATAAGGACTCTGGAGAGATGGTTCTCTACCTTGGCAAAAGTGGATCCTTTCCCTTCAGACTGGATGGTGATGGTATGAGTTCTCCTCTGCAGAATCTGGTCTATGTCTTCTTCACAGAACTTGGAGCCTTCGTCTTCCTCATCCATTAAGGCTCCATAAGCACCCTTCCGGAGCAAGTCCTCCACCTCCATTTTTGAGAGCTGCTGTACCTGGACAAGTCACCAAAGGCTACTCACAAAGTGGAAAATGCACAGGAGAAAAACAGCCTCAAATCTAACCTTTATGATTCAGTACACAGTTCTTTCACTAACTGTGTATGTCAGAAGAATAAAGGACATGGACAACAATCTTTAGAGTATGAAAACTCAGGTAAAGATATTCAAGAACTATGGAGAGGGTAAACAGACAATCCTAAATAGAGAGTGCTGGAATAAACTTCAGCACGTGACCCAATGGCCCTAACGTTCTACAGGGCGTCAGTTATTATCAAATGTCATAAGCCATTGAAACAATGCACCACTGAAGAGGATATATTCGACTTTTTTTTTGGTTTTAGTTTGAGTCTGCATCTTTAAAAATCTCCAGATGTACCAAACGAGCTGAAGAATAATGATTTATTCATTATTAAATAAGTACATTAGTATTGGAAATGATGTCATTTCTTTTAAAAAAAAAAAAAAAAATCCCGTGCCAAGTGTGATCTCCTCAACCGCTTGTTGGAAACAGGAAATGGGGTTCAAAACACCCTTTCCTGGTTCTAATTAAGAATCTGGTTCTCTTTATAGCAATCACAAGAGGGAATACCATGACTCCCAGCTCTGGTAACTTGAAAAATTATACTCAGCAACATATGCATAGCTAACAGGATACAGAACATCTGGACTAAAGGCAATTCATTTAGAAGATTTTAATTCCCTATCTTTGATGCCCTGATCCCAGAGATTAAAGAGAGATTCTGCTTTGCTTGTCTATACTTCAAGACAAAAATCTTAGCTGCAATTTTTATCCCCCCTTGGAGGGGAAAAATCTTTTATTAACTGCCATATTTCATGCTACTAATTTATTCATTCATTTATTTCACTAAACAACACACACTGAACAACTTTTAATATGCCAAATGCTGTTAGGGACCATGGGAAATACAGAGAAAAAACATCCCACAGTACCCACAAGTAGCTCAAGATCTGGAGTATGAGATAAAGTATGGTAACAAATACATGCTTAGCCAGAGTTGCGTGTTAAGATCTACTGGCTTCTAATGGGCACCATTAAAAACTTTGTTTACTGAAAGGTTCCAGCATGCTGGGCAATCCTACCACATAACTGCTCCTACGGATGTTCTTTACCCATTTATAAAATGCATAGACTTGACCTCAAACTATCCTCTTCCATAGGGAATTATCCAACAAAGACGTGAGTGCTGACTCAATACAGTACAAGTAATCACGAAAACAGCTGTAGGAAGGAAAACCCCAGAGAGGCCCAGGCTGTGTGACAAATGCTTCTTGAGGCTCCAGAGCAGGGACCATCATACTCACGCCGTTGGTGCTGCCCTTTCGGTTGATGTCCTGAAGAACAGCCTTGTCTAGACCAAGCTTTAGGCTGGCCTTGTCAAACATTTCCCGCTCGTAGGAGTTCCGAGTTATGAGGCGATACACTTTCACAGCTTTGCTCTGGCCTATCCGATGACATCGGGCCTGAGCCTGGAAAGGAAGGATCACAACACATGTCACCATCTATAATGGCGGCAGCCCTGGGAATAGGGAAATACCTAAATAGGGAAGTGGTATGAGTGGTGAGTGACCAGCTCTCAGTTATGAGGTCATCGGACTGACTTCAGGACAGACTACACTAAAACGTAAGCTGCCCCTTCAGGGCCACTCGTTTCTTCACCAATTATTTATTGAGTGACTATTGTGTGACCTGAAAGGTACACGGTGCTAGGATAAAGCAATGAGAAGACATGGTTTCCTACTCTCCCCACACTTGTGGTCTGAGCACAGATACCTTGTGAGGCAGCCTCATTTTAAGGACGCTGCCCTACTTTCTCGGGAAATGTCTCAGAGCTGGCAGCGTCCTTTTTATTTTTTAATTTTACTAAATAAAATTTCAAACATAGACAAAAGTATAATGATCCTTATGGACAATCCTGTTTCATCTCTACTAAATTCTACACATCATATAGTGTCCTCCTTATATATTTCAGTATGTATTTCTAAAGATAATGACTCTCATAAAACATAATCCCATTATCACCGCCACACTTTAAAAAATTAATTCTTAACATCAACTATTTAGTGTATGTTCAAATTTCCCTGTGTATCTCCTTTTCTTTTTTTTTTAAAATAGCTTATTTGTTTGAATCAGGTCCAAATAACTTCCCTTCATTGCAAACGGTTGATACGTCTCAAGTCTCTTTTAATCTACAAATACTCCCTGCCTTCAACCTTTTTTAAAATGTAATTTATTTGATGAAGAAACCAATTATCTGTCCTTTGGTTTCCCAGAGACTGCATTTTGCTGACTGCATTCCTGTTGTGTCACTGAATAGGTTCCTCTGTTTCCTGTAAACTGCGAGTTATATCTCGAGCCTTGATCAGATTAAGATTCATAGATGGTGTTTCAGTTTCCATCAAGATGCACATGATGTCTGGTTGTCTTTCTTTTGAATTAATGATCATTGCCTAGATCCCTTATTTCATAGTAGTTACAATTCCCTTCATCAATTTTTTGGTTACCCTAACATACAGTTCATATTGGAGAACCAAGATAAATATTTGATTCTTCCACTTTACTTAACCAGTTTCCAAAATAACACCCTCCAAAAGTGACTAGCGAAGATTTATTAAGAAGCACAAATACAGAAAGAGGAAGACTAAATTCTGTGGTGTCAGAATGGATTTGGAAGTATCAGTATGAACTCACGGTTATGGGTGTGTGTGAATATATGTATGTATATATATATACACACACAAATCTATACATACAAATATAGAACATAGATACAGATGTGTGTATTTGTATGTACACACATACATATGAATGCATGTTATATATACGTATATGCATAGTTATGTTTTATGCGCGTGTGTGTATTCTAAGTTTTCCACTAAGAGGGTGCAGAAGTAATGACATCCAAATGACAATGAAAATACCTAGCTCCAAGATCTTGCTGTTAAATATCACTATCCATAAAACAGAACCAAGGCTTGTTACAGAAATGGCTAATTCCAGGGCTGGAGTAGAGGAGTACAGGATGAGCTTGAAATATATTATTGTGCCAGAATGTTAGGAAGTATTCAAAAAAATGATGGAAATATATCAAAATAACACTTGAACCTTGAAGAAGCTCCCACTGGCTAAGTCTAGGACTATTTGAGTATCAAGGTAAATAAAGATAGTAATAGATTATAACCCATTGAATAAAAAAGGAATCCAAGAGTTCATTCTGATATAAATAAACTGGAGGAAGGGAAAACGCTTCCTTACAGTAGAATGCCAACTACAAATATAGGAAGAGTGACAGGGTTAGAAAACCACAACTTTGTAACCATCGCAGTAATAATAGATTCAGGTAAAAATAATCAATAGACAGGAAAACCAGTGGGTGAAACTTTGATGAGAAATAGGATATTTACAGAGTCTCAAAGTATCTCTCCAAAATTATTTATTAATTTCAAAAGGAAAAAATAGCAATTTTATAGTGGAAATATCTAGCAGACACCACTTAATCAAGTGAAAAAAGTCAACATCATCAAAAAAATGGTATCACATTCCTCCTGATATGGTAAATTGAGAAGGACACATCACTTCTGTCATTTCCCTAAACCGGAATCCCATCCTCAGGACACATAGACAAACTCAAATTGAGGAATACCTACAAAGCCAACTGGCCTATACTCTTCAAAAATATCAAGGTCAAGAAAGAAAAGAAAGAACGAGGACCTAATCTAGATTAAAGGAGGCTAAAGAGATACGAAAACTAAATGCAATGTGTGATACTGGACTGGATCCTGGACTGAGGGAATATTATCTATAAAGGACATGAGACAAATGATAGATTTAAATACGGACTGTGGATTAGAGAACAGTATTCTTATTTCCTGATTTTGAGAACTGTAGTGTGGTTATATAAGATAATGTGCTTGCTCTTAGGATATATACACTAAAATACTCAGGAGTTACACAGGCACGAGGCCTCCAACTTCCTCTCAAATGAGTCAGACAAAAAATGATGTGTGTGAGTGTGTGTCTGTGTATCTGAGAGAGTACATGCCAAAGGAGACAGAGAGGGAACAGATGATAAAGTAAATGGGCAAAATGTAAATAGCTGGTGAATCTAGATAAAGGGTATATGGGAGTTGCAAACTTTTGTCTAAGTCTAAAATTGTACTAAAATGAAAATTTACAAAAATATTGAATATAGTTACTTGAAATAATTCCTCTCTTAAGGTTATGCTGTCCATTTGGTACACAGCTAGTTTTGCTTTGCTTTTGAATTTTAGGGTTGGCTCTTTCCCATTAATCTAACCACACTGAAGGACGTGGGAAAGAAAATAACTAACCTAAGTAACTCTAGAAAACAATATTTTGACGATGTACTGTAAGGCTAAAGACAAAAAGATCTACAGACCAATACTATAATCTAGTAAATTTGTTTCTCACAGGATATGAGTTAGCAATTCTGAAACTATTTTATATATACTAGAAATGAGCAAAAGAGTAAACATTTTGTGGATAATGAGCTCTTGGCTTCTCACTGTCAAAGAAAGTTAAAAATAAGAAAAACGCTAGAATGAACCCTGTGGTGTTGCAACTGGAATAGGAAATATCACTATGGATGGGTCGATAGGGAATAAAAATAGATGGGTGGTATGACTGTTTGTGTTACCATACATGTATTTCCTAGCTCTGACTACTCAGAGGATCTAGAAGCAGTAATACTTCAGTAGCAATGGGCAGTAGACAGATCTTGGTTTCTAAATGCCATTTTCAAACATAAGGAACCAAAGATCCTTGAAGAAATGGTCAATTTCAAGGCTGTAGCAAGAAAAACTCAACACGAACCTGGAAAATCTTGTTTTGACAGAAAGTAAAAAAGTCCTCAAGAAATGTCTCAACAGACTGCCGGCAAAATGGCGCTCTAAACAGAAGCACCATGCTGTCCCTCCACAGCAAAGATCCGAAAAACTAAGCCGAACAGAGAAAACAACAATCCTGAAATCCTAAAACATCAAATGAAGAGATAAAGAACTCAGCCAAGCACCAAATGGAGTGAGAAAACTGACAGAGAACGGAGAGCAAGGAGAGATTCATGCAAAAGTCCCCAACCAGCTAATGCAGTGCGCATCTGCCATCTTGGACTTCTATTGGAGACCAGCAAGCAGGGGGTACGAGAAAGCAGCTTCATGGAGCTTCCCGCAGGAGACAAAACAACCGGTAATTTGCGATGTACGCTTTCCCACCCCCCATCCTTCTTCACCCCCACTCGGCCTCCTCTGCTTCCCGTGGCCACAATCTGTTGTCCAGGAAACACTGGCTGCTTGGATTCCACACACCCGAACAGGCCGGCTCTCTGAGTGCCATTTGTTGGCTGCTAGTGTTGCTATTTTCCACTTCTTTTGATTTCTTCCTTACCTCTCACCACCTCCCCCCTCCTTTCCCTCAAATACCTGGCTCCATGCGCCATCTTTGCTTCTTCCTAAGGGGCTGTGGAGCTCCGTTCGAGTGTGGAGCTGCTTCCTGGTCTGGGCTGCCACGCTGGTGGGATCCCGGGGCTTTTGTTCCTTTGTTTGTTTTGAATTGTTTGTTTTCTTTTCCTTTTCTTGAGTTGGGAGCCCTTTCTGGTCAGGCGGTGCTGCGTGGCAAGGAGACTACCCCGTCGGCTTGCACAGACGTGCAGAGGGATCCCTGAGAGCATTTTTTTTTTCTTCTGTTTTTTGGGGGGCTTTTCTTTTTCTTTTTTTTTTCCCCCTTTTTGTCTTTCCTTATCACTCAGTTTCTCGTCTCTCTATATCTTCCTTCTCTTTCAGTTCCCTGAATACCTGGCGCTGTATAACTCTACGCCTCCTAGCCAGGCTTTACCGCAACACCTGAGAGCAACTTCCCCAGACCTCATAGCTGCACTGGTGGGATCCCTGGGAACTCTGCGGTTCTTTAACCTTTCCGATTTTTATTTATTCATTCTTTTCTTTTCTTCCTCTTCCCTTTCTGTTTTTCTCCATTTCACAGTCTCTCATCTCTCCACTCCAACAGTAAGATCCCCTAGCATTCTTTTTTGTTTGCATGTTTTTGGCTCCTGTTCCTCTCTCCTCTCTCCCATATCCATCTTAGTTCCACACATAACAATCTACCAGCTACATCCTGCCTACCTGCACCGTGCGCTTAACATCACACTACCAAGCAGCACAGGCATGGCCTACCGGAACCTGCCCTGCACTGATTACGGACCCGCCCAGGTGGCTGTAGTAAGTGCCACAAACAACCCGTCCCAGTAACTCCTCTTCAGCTAGACCTGCCCTGCCGTACCATATCTGAGTGACTGACCCTGCCAAATGGAGAAGGAGGAGAAAAGTACTGTGCCCACAGATGAGCAAACAACAAAGAACACACAGTCTGCCTGCTCATAGTCAAATTTAAAAAAAAAAAGGGACGAAACAAACAAATCTACAATCAATAAACGAGAAAAATAACTACTGAATGC